TTCAATTTAATCTACTGTTAGTTCAATTCATGCACATAATAAGTCTGAAAATTTTATAATCCTCGTTTTTACGAAAATCGAAAGATAAATAATTTACCTTTACTAGCAATGAATATTAAGCCTTAATTATCTATTGCATTTCAGTTTCCTATTAAGCATTCTATAAATTCTGCACGTATATATGAATCATCTAGCAATTTAAGGATAAATTTATCGTAACACAATATCGACTTATTTTTCCTTACCGTAAAATGCATCAACTAGTAATTCAAACCAACATTTTAATCGTGTCAGATAAAGAAATAATGTACATTTAGATTTATATTTCAAAACCTCATGTCGGCATTTATAACAAATTGTGATTCTCCCTTTGAAATTTAGTTGCCTAAACAGTAGTTTGTTTCTTTAAGACCAATGTAGGTAAATAAGTCTGCTTATTCAGTTATTTCGTACAGCTATGTTTTGTGAAAATAAATTTGCTCAGCAACTTCCATTTTATTAAAAATTAGCAGATTCGTTGTGTTCCTTAAATAGCCACGTACGCCATTTGACATTAACTTGAAGCAATAGTAAAAAACGCACATCAAAAGCAGTGTTTCCTGACATTTGTTTTTAGTAAATTTAGTGCAACATCTAATTATTTCGTGAACAATCGATTTTATTAACTCATTTAAAAATTGGTAACTCTTAACGTTTATTCGTGAATGACGATTAATTATTTCCATTATCCGCAGTTGTAATAGGATTTAATATCTTGAGAAAGGCAATATCTCCGAAATTAATAATGTATCTTGTGCTGTTCGTTGAACTGTACGGTTGAATTTGATTGGTTGTGTTTAGTCAAAAGTTTATAACTACATACACATGTAGTTTGCTCTAACTAAATTTGGTAAATTCAATAACCTTTTACATGTATTTACTTGTTCGAATTCTCTAATCAGATTGGTGGATTTTCAGAAAACGCGAATCTATCAAACGTTATAAAACTCGTAAGGTGTACGCGTCAATAAGAAAATATCCACCTAATTTTATTTTTTGCAATAATGGATGAAAATAAAAAAGTACACAAACCAATTCTACGCTTATTTAAAAAATTTTTCGTTGACATAGTGCCAGAACGCCAAACGGAACCTACTTTTTTTCGTTATATAAAATTTTTCTTTATATATATGGTTTATATTGGTAGTCTGGCCTATCTAGTTTATCTAATAACCCAAATGGTAGGAGAGGTTCCACATCTTACAACAAGTACTAGAATAGATGACCAGTTACCTGCTCCAGGTGCCAACTACATTTTAAGCTGTTATACTTTTTTAATAAAATAAAAAATAATTATTCAAATGGATTTAAATTTTTTAGTATTTGAACTTGATGGACCTACCGGTATGGCCTACAACGCGACGTGTGACTTTTTAAACATAAGTAATAATATCTCAAATTTAGTAAGCATATTTTATTAGACAAAAATAAGTTCATTAATTTCTTTGTATTTCAAGACCTAACAGTTATAAAGACGAATGATGGGAAAACATGCAATGAATTTCTTAGCAGCAATTCGGATTATGGCTATACAATTTATTATTTTAATAATACCGGAAATATACCAATAAACTTGACTGATGATTCAATATACGGGATTCAAGTACAAATTCAGCTGAATTCCAACCCATCGAATCTAGAATCATTAGATAATGATAATCCAGCCTTGTTTTCCGGATTACATATTTACTTATATGATGCGAGTATGTCTCTTTCCTAAATTCTTTTTGTATTTTAAAAAAGTTGATTTATTTTCTTTTTATTAGCTATCGATAATATTGATTTTTCGAAAAAGAAAGGAAATGCAAGTGTTGCTTACGAAGAAGCACTTGACTCTAATGATTATTTAATTCCTCCAAATCAGGTAATTACATGCATGTATAGTAGTTCCATCGATACTTTTCTGATATTAAATAGTCAAATAATTATTTATTTGATTTTTTTATTTTAGCGGAGTATTATCTATTTTAATAGAATGATTAATAATGACCTTGATGGTCATCGTTTCAGAAATCATCTTGGTCTAGGAGCAAAACCGAATGAATATGCGCTTATAAATACTAAAATACGTATGTATTTATTGTTATTTTATTTGTTGTTCCATAAGAGTTTTATTCAATTCTTTAATATTTAGAATCTGTTAACCCGTACAACGCGTCATCGTTTAAATACTTCGCAACTCTGGAAATATACTACGAAAGCCGAATTGTAACTTTAAATGAACAAACAAGGTTAGTAAAATGACTTTAAAATTAAAAGCAACACATGAAACGAATGTTGTCACTTTTATTTACAATTTTTATTTGTAATTTATTAAATAAATTCAGAGACACAACGGTAAGTTCGCTATTCTAACTTACATTTATTCCCTTAATTATGTTCACGCACTTATCTCTTATTTCTTTTCTATCAAAAAGGTTCTTTCAATTTTGAGTTCACTCGGTGGTGGTTTTGGTCTAGGGATGGCTATTTACGCGTTTTGCTTTGGTATCCTTCAATTTCATCCTAATACAATCTAAGTATGAAAATGAATATATATCACTCAAATTCTACTTTCCATTTCATTAAAAGGTGCCCCTCAAATCGGACCTTGGGGTTGGGCTCAAGAAGTCTATGGATGCAGACATAAACTTAAAATGAAACTCGGCGAACGTTTCCATGATTTTGTCCCCCTCGTTGATGAAAAACCAAACTATGATGACCTAGACGAATCAGAATCCGCTCGTATAACGGCACTCGAGAGACGAAGTGAAGCACTTGAATTATTCTTGAGAGACTATGTTGTGGATGTGGGCGACTTAGAAGAATTTACAGATTCTTATAGAAAAAAGTCTCAAAATTCAAATTCTGAGAAGTGAACTTGATTTTTTAATACACGGTATCAATATTAATTTATATGAACGATAATAGTGTTTCTAAATTACAAGTCATTAAAAATTTTATGAATATGGCAATAAATGATATGTCTTTTTTAAATAACAGTTGTCATTTTTATAAATGACAAAAAAATGACAATTTTTAAATATCATGTGTCAATTAAATTGCGTTATTATTAGGGTTAAAAGAATACCACAAAATTAATAAATCGTTCGAATGGATTCCTTTTAAAAGATTTACCAAAGTTGAATATCTTGCAAAAGGAGATTTTGAAAAATTATAGAGCAACATGTCATGGATGGAGGGAGAATCAAATGGGTATTGGGATCATGAAAAAAATAAATTTAAATTATATAATAGAAGTTGTGTTGTAAACATAACACAATTCACTATTCCGGGTCTATTGTGGTATTATATTTGGGGGGGGTATTTTGTTAAGGTATTATGGTAATTAATCACAATAGCCGATCATTTATATATGTGTAAAAAAATTGTACATTGTAACGTGTTTAAAATTTAAATCGCAACGCGTCTAATTCTTTTCAAACTCTATTATGAAAACGAATTTATTGAATATGAAAATCAATGGAATTAAATATCAATAAATAAATCTACCTTTTTCGAAACTACATACTTGTTGCAGTGTTTTTATCGCAGTTGAAGATTAATAATATTTTTCACGTAGCCATTATATTATGCAATAGACCCGGGTCTATTACATTTTACCAGATTTGTAACCTGTGATACATACCCGGGTATATTATTTAGGGGGTCTTTTGCAAGAGGGGTCTTTTATGCGGTGAATTACGGTAATTTCAATTACATGTATATGTACAATTAAAATTTCAAGTTATTTATATAATATGATCAATGGTCTCAGAAATATAAAGTTCGTACATCATAACTTTTAGCTTGGAAATATATTAATTTTTTATAGGGCTCAATTTGCTAAGTTTGGAAACAAATATAGAAAATCTAACCAAGAAATTTGTGGAATATTTCTTTATATGAGTCCAGAGATATTAAATGAAAGTTATACATTAATGTTGCTGTAGATATTTATAGCTTTGGGTTGATTATGTATGAAATTTAATAACCAATTGGTAAAATGAGTCAATATATGCTATTACTGTTACAACAAAAAATCTCGTGATTACGGAAATTTCTGAAAGAATATGAAAATCTCTATCTTTTACATGTATCTTCTACATTAATATTTAAAAGAATTAAAAATATTATTAGTAGAGTCTTGTAATATCCTTATGAGATAATTGATGTTGCTATCATGTAGTATTGTTACTGTTGCAACGAAAAATCTCGTGGTTATGGAATATTCTGGAGTGACACTAAATTTCTAAATTCTGTATTTCTATAAGTACGTGTAAATGATGAAAACTTAATATTGCCCCGCAATATAAAATTTCTACTATACGGTATCAATATTAATGTCGTTTCCCCCAAAAATTCCTATCTTGTGCACCCAAGCTATTGATTATCGTTATAGATTCCTACAGAAAATTCTTACTTTGTACGTTTTCCTTATTGTTGATTGATAATTATAATTAATTTTTATAATGTAATAATAATTTTTCTTTTTATTCCTTTTACATATTAATTCTACATTAATTTCCATTACATTGTTTTATAATATACATATCCTTTTCTTTTTATGAAATTTCCTACTAAATTTCTTATTTTGTGACCCGCAAAACCTGTAATTAACGAAATATAATTTACGAATTTTATATATACATGTATATAGGATAACCCTCGAAGGTCAGAGAGAAAGGCAATGTGTGGTTTGAAGAAAAATAACTAATAATATTTTAACTCTTACCTAAATATGCTTCAGCTTTATTTCTTTTGTGCAAAAACGAAATTAATCGATTTGTCTCTAACACAATATCGCTTTTGTCATAAAAAGAAGATAAATTTCGCTTATTATTGATTAATTGGTTATTTGGGAGTTTGCCTTTATTATTTTGGAACAAACCTATTTTTTATTATCTGAATTGAATATTATTGAAATTGTGTTAGTATCCATTTGTAATTTTTTTTATCATTTGAATTATAATTTTGTTAATTGAATTAAATATTTTATTTTAAACTTTACCTTTACTCTATTGCACAATTCCAGTGAAGTTTGGCACCGGAGACCTTTGAACCCCGCTTTATGTGAATCATTCAGTTTAGCTCATGATCCTTGTTGCAACTATAATTCGTTATTCAACGTTACTTGCAAATATTGTGTGACAGTATCAACAATGATTTTGTAGCTTTCCAATCGAAAAAGTCTTGACATCACAATTCCAGGATTTTAACTTTCATTTAGAAATTTGTGATGAATTTATTACTTTTATATTTCTTCCCTACTTTATGTCCACAATAATAATTAGATTTTAATCTCATTTTGTACCATATATAATAATTTATTTTTAATATCATTACATATTATTTTTATTTTTTTATATAGATATTTCTTATTTAGAATCAAAGTTCACTATGTACTTTAAAAACATGCAAAATTTGTACTAGATTATCATTTGTAATTCAGATAGCTTATAAGAATGAAACTGTATACATGTACATGCATTGAGCATTACATTGAAGGTTCAATCAAAAGACAGGTAAATATGTGATTTGAAGAAAAAAGTTAATTAAATTATTTTAAACTCTTAAATAACATTATTTCAGTTTTTATTTCTTTTGTACCAAAAAAAAATTGATAGCTTTATTTCTTTCGCGCTGAATAAATTACTTTTTTTTATTATAAAAGGTTGGTGTATTTCTTCGATTATTTGTTTGTAATTTATTTTTATTGGTTTGAAATAAACCTATTTTTTACTTTTTTTATTCTTACAAACGAGCTCCAGTATTATTCCTGACCAGTTCCCTCAAAATAGAGCTGTATTATTACTATTAAATTGTTATTACGTATCTTGTTCATTAATTATAGATAAATTAGAATTTTCTGCACGCAATATTATCAAACAATGCAATTAGCAAAACCAATATTACATATACATGTATCAAGTAACTTTGTGATCAATACAATGTTTCAGGGATGTAATACGTAATACATGTACATGCACATGTAATGTTAATCGATTAATCTTCCTGAATGAAAAATTGTACATGTATGATTAAAGCTTCCCATTTATGCTGATGACAGTTTTTATTCGATTTAGTGTATTTAGGATGTTTATTAACTTTTTTTTAGCGTTTTTATTCTATTATTTTTTCATATTGTTTAAATATCTATTAACGAATTAATATATTTTTTACAGTCCGTAATCTAACAAACTTCGCAATGCAAACAGAATATTAAAACAAATTAAAGCAACTCATATTTAATTGAATATACTCTTTCTTATTACTTAATAATTGTTTTTATATTTACTGTACTTGAGGCTATAATAATTACATAAGAAAAAATATTCGACAACGAATTTTTTTTCTTCTTCAATATTCATAAATCATTTATCCGATATATACATGTATTATAACTTTTGTAACTTAAAAAATTACTTTATTGTATGGGTTTGGGTTATCAATACAGTTTTGTTTGGTAAATATTTTTATATGTACATGTATAGCTACGAATAAATACCATTTATTTTACTATCGCTATTACTGGTCAAGTGTCACCAACTTTTGTTACATCAATTAATGCGGAAATAGATCTCTAATATGGACATGTGTAAAAAAAAAGAACATTCCTGATGAATTTTCTATGAAAGACAAATACTATAAATTGATTTGTCTGTCGACTTCATGATAAGAATATTATTATTGTATTATTGTAAAATTAAGAATCATGCGCGTCTCCACTACGATAGGAACCAAGACGGTCTCTGATATTAGTCAGTTACAGCTACCCGTCAAAGCAACTTCCCCTTCAGGAGCACCTACAAATCCAAAATACTTTATGTATTTTACATTTTCGGGTACCAATCAAGCATTCCAATCAGGCTACCTTGGAATAACCAATTCGTGTATCCAAGGCACACTACATATAAAATCCTCAATGTTAAAACAACCTTTGCTGGCAAAACAAATAGTTCTTACATTAAAATGTGTTCAATTTGCACATTGGTCAGCTGGAAGAACTCGTGTTAGCGCTAGTTTAAAGACTCTTGATTTGTCACAGACACTGTTTACTAGTAATGATCCTAAAGGATATCAATTATTAAATGATTGTGAATTTCCTTTTGTATTTCCGTTACCTGCCACAGCGGTTGGTTCTTTACATACTGATGCATGTAGAATTGAGTATCAACTTGACGCTAAACTCAAACGTAAAAAGGTTAAATGGTATCAACTTTCGTCACGTGCAGAATGGACTTTACTGCCTGTACTATGGTATGCTTTTCCAACTATGGAGATGTATCAACCGGCGATTCTATCAAATACAGACTCAAAAATTCAATGGTCTTTCAGTATACCCAAAAAGCACGTAGCACCAAACGAAGTGATAAATGCACGATTAAATATCACTTTTTTGAATCCTTCCATATCAATCAAATCAATCGAATATGGTCTAAAAACTTATATGTATGTTCGAGCTGGCAAATGGTCATTCACAGGCAAATTACGTATGACAAAAGCAAAAGGTATGGGTAATGAATTTACAGGTGATCTTTTGATAAAAGTACCAGGGGACGTTATTTCAACGACAAATGGGCCATTGATTAAGGTGGAACATAAAATCAAAGTTAAAGTTTCGTTAAGTGGCGCTAAAGATATCGAAATAGAGCAACCTGTAATTGCGAGTAATGTAATGCCAACAGAATTGCATCAACAGCTGTTACGTGCACAAAATTTGATTTCTTATAATATGCAAAGATTAAATTGAGGATAAACAATAAACATTAGCGTACATGTAGTATTTTATATTTATTTTCTTTATTTAATAGTATTTTTATTTTTAATTTCTTTATATATAGAATATAAGGAGGTCAGGATATTTTTAAATTGTTAGACTTTTATTTTATCTTTTTATTATACATAAAAATAAATGCATTACTGATTATTAATATTCGTTAGTCAAAACTTGATTCTTGTTTTACATGAAAAAGAGAAGAAATGCGCTAAACAGAGGTTTTAAGAATAGGTTAATTTACAGTGTCTATGTCATATATAGAAGGAGAACCTGGCCGTTTTTTCGTTGCCCAAACTCTAACCAAAGTTCGCGCAAATCTCAGAATCACATGTATGTGACGGGCAATCTGCATATTAAATAAAGTTTTAATTTTATACTTAATTTTCGTTCGTTCTGAAAGAACCGTCGAAACGAAAAATCCCGTGATTACGAAATTATGGAACGATGCAAGACGATCTTGCTTGTATCCTACATGTACACTCCCCGGTCAAAAGTCTCCGCCAAAACTATTAAGCATAAATAAATAAAATTTTTTTTCCATGCAGCTCTTGACTTCAGCTACCTGAAAATAAAAA